ATAATATATATACACACACTCACACACACAAAAACCCAGGACAGGTGCAGTGCTGTCTTTTTCCTTCCTCCTGAGAGGTGACGGTAGACAGGTGGACTTGGGTGTGCTTCACTGAAGTATTAATTGCTTTGTACGCTTTTGTAAACAGACAGAGCAAATAGTTTTTGGTGATTTAGCCAGGTTACCGTTGGTTCTTGGTAAAATCAGATAGAATGATAGGGTAGTTCTCTCTGTGGGGTTCGTGGTAGGGGTGGGAAGAGAGAGCAAGTGAGACAGAAAGAGAAAGAGAGATGGAGAAAGAGAGATAGAGAGAGAGAGAGACAGAGGCAGACAGACAGACAGACAGACAGACAGACAGACAGACAGACAGACAGACAGACAGACAGACAGACAGACAGACAGACAGACAGACATACCAGTAACGCCCTACAACTACCCGCTAAAAAATTTGAGTTCGGGTCTGAGTAAAGAGAAACGCATCTAAACAATAACGGTAATATTGTGCAGAGGAGAAACGTGACAGACTGACAGAAACAACAGAGGAAACCAGAGACTCTGCAGTAACAGAGATATAAATAGTATGCTTAGTAAATAGAGAAATAAACGTGCTTAGCGAATAGAGAAATAAATGTGCTTTTCAGAGCCTGTATTCTTTGGTCGGCGTTGAGCGCTCCAGAAATGTCATTCACGTATACAGGAAGGGTCGGTGGGGTGTGGAGGGTTTTAGTTTTAGTAAAGGTTTTACGACACTCGCAACTACATATGGTCATGTGAGCGCCAGAGGATTAGAGGTGTTAGAAGAGAGCAACAAACATTAAAAAGAAGAAGGGGAGATAAGGACGATAGACGTTTGAGAGGAAAGTAGAAGCAAACCACACCAGAGCACCCGCCAACCACCCACTGGTGTGGAGGGGGGCAGAGGAGGTGGGGTAGCAAATGTAGGTACACAGTATCACATCGTTGTTATAGTTCGTCATTTATCAAGATTGTTAAAGGAATGTGTACAAGGTTATCCACAATTTACACAAGGTGATCCACTGTTTACCAGGTTATCTATTGTGTACACGGTTATCCACTTATGCACTGAGTACATGGTTATTTACTTATCCATTGTTTACACGTTTACCCACTGTGTGCACGGTTATCCACAGTGAACTAGGTTATCCACGTATCCACAGAATACAAGGTAATCCACAGTGAACACGCTTACCCACTGAGTACACGGTTATCCACTGAGTACAAGATTGCCCACTGTGTACATAGTTATCGCTTATCCATTGAGTTCACGGTTTTCCACTGTGTAAAAGGTTAGCGACTTGATTCACCAAGCTTAGTTTCTCCATACTAGGCACATATATTTCTCTATTTACTAGTACAATCATTTCACTCTTCACTAAGCACAATTATCTTGTTGTTCACTGTAAGCACATTTATGTCTCTATTTACTTAGTACAATTATTTCACTAAGCACAATTATTTTTCTATTCACTAATAAGCACATTTAGATCTCTATTTACTAAGAATATTTATTACTCTATTCAATAACTGTAGAATCTCCATCCACTGGGCATGTTTGTCTTCATTGGCTAAGCATGGTTTCTCTTCATTCCGTAGGCACAATTTCCCTTCACTTCTGTCACTAAGCAAGCACAATTTCTCCATTCACTTCTGTCACTAAGCAAGCACACTTTCTCCATTCACTTCTGTCACTAAGCAAGCACAATTTCTCCATTCACTTCTTTCATTCACGAAAGCACAAATCCTTCATCCACAATGTATTTTTTTTCTCCATTGACTAATCACGCATGATTTCTCGAGATCCAGAAAGCATAAATTATTCTCCCTTCAGTAAGCACAGATGGGGTTGTTTTTTTCATTCAGTATTTCTTTCCTTCACAAAGCAGCTTCGTTCCTCCACTTTTTCTTTCCTTCACTAAATACGGATTTTTACCCTTCACTATTTCTTTCCTTCACAAAGCACAATATCTTCATCCCCAAAGCGAGGTAAAGACCTACTGGGCGGGAGAGCGGGGCTTGCCCTGGGGTGACCACTACTGTCGCTCTGTCCCTCGGCCGTTTGGAGAGAAATCAGGGTGACCCTGGGTCTAGATAGTCCTGCGTGTGTGTCTGTTGTGTGGGGTGTGTGGGGGTGTGTGGGGTGTGTGTGAGGGAGGGTGTGAGGGGGTGTGAGGGGTGGGACTGTTGGCACCAGGGGACAGTGGTCAAGACAGCAGCAGCTGGTCATTGATGGGTCAACGAACTCCAGGGGGTGGTGAGATTAAGTCGGGGGGGTGGGGGTGTGTGGGGTGTGTGTGAGGGGAGGGGGTGTGAGGGGTGGGACTGTTGGCACCAGGGGACAGTGGTCAAGACAGCAGCAGCTGGTCATTGATGGGTCAACGAACTCCAGGGGGTAGTGAGATTAAGTCGGGGGGGAGGGAGGGGAGAGAGAGAGAAAGAGAGAAAGAGAGAGAGAGA